TATATATATATATATATATATATCTGGGAAATACTAACCCCATACGGATGCCTTCTTGTGTATTATTTTTGTTTTTTTATCGAGAATTGCCTATGACTGTGTGAGTGAAAGAAAAGAAAAAGAAGAATAAAGGGGGTGGGGAAATAAAGAAGTTGAGAAAAAGATAATATAATGTTGTAAAAAGTATTAGTTTCTAGTTTTTGGTTTATAGTGATCATTAGTATCGTTAGTCTATACTTGTATTTATTATTATTATTATTATTATTATTATTATTATTATTATTATTATTTTCCTTTGTTTTTTCTTTGTTTTTTTGCTGTGATGATCACCTGACAGTTAAAGAGAGATGGGTATAATGTTGTTCTTGTTCTTTACTTTTTATTATTCTCTTATTGATGTTTTGGTACCTTATATCACTCTCTGTAGTGGATGGATATCAATCTTAATTTCTGTTCTCTTCTCTTCTCTTTTATCTGTGAATGTGAATGTGAATATGTAAATATGTGTGTTAGTACTATATATATATATATAGAGTGGTGATTACTGCCATCAGTCCACAGTAGAAGAAGGGAGTTGAGGCATTTAGTATAATAAAAAATAACAACAATAAGAGTATAAATATCAATATCAATATCAACCCAAAAAGCAAACGAACAGATAAATAAATAAATAGAGAGAGAGAAAGAGAGAGAGTCAACATCCTCTCCACCAAAAAAGTAAAAAAAAAAGAAATTAACAATGGACACGGCAATGATTTTAATGATCATATTGGTGTGTTTCTTGGCTGTGGTGGTGATTGGTGTACTTATATTTGTGATTTTCTATTTCACACACCTACGACGACGACGACAACGAGGACAATATGCAGAGACCGTAAAGAATGGGAATCTTCTTCACTTTATAGATCTAGAGAAGAATCCCCGCACAATTGATGTTGTGGGAAAAAGTATTATGAATAAATCCTCTCTTATGATGGAAATCGCCTTACTCTGTGGAATTGACGATCCATCTACTCTCACATTTGTATATGTAAAAGGGAAAGAGGCTATATTGTATGAAGTCGATGTAGAAAGTTTACTTCGACGTGATGATCATAATATCTCACAGCGATTAGACTATACCGCCACTCATCCACTATTATTATATCAAGTGATGGATCCTTCTCTCCTCACACAACCCCCATCTCAAATTCCATCCTTGCAAGTAAGTGAACAGCCCATACGAGATGGAGAGACCAGAGTTCCTATACTTGACTCTACTGGAGTGGAAGTAAACTATTCACATGATGACGCTTTACGCCCGTTAAAGAGTAGACAAAATAATAATAATAATAATAATAATAATAATAATAATAATAATAATAATAATAATAATAATAATAATAATAATAATAATAATAATAATAATAATAATAATAATAATAATAATAATAATAATAATAATAGTCCTCCCATGCAAATACAACGCCGTGTATATAGTGTACCTTCACCTATTATACTCCCCAATCGACAACACATTACAACCGCTACACCTATTACTATTCTCGCCGTAGAGTATATACGTGAGGATGATGGATCTATACTAGATGAGTATTCCACATGTATTGTAGAAGATGCAAGGAAAGAAGGAGTGCAACACCGTCTAACACTACCGGATGGATCTATTGTTCATATACATCCCAACACACATGAGGTGTGGTTAGAGAATTATAGAAATAAGAATAATCCCGTACTTCTAAGACGCTATACAGCAGATGTAGTGCGATTTACAATTGATAGTGGTCCTAATGCCCAGTGGCAGTTGTATCGACATGCGTTTTATTTACCAACAGGTCGTTGGTGTCTACGGGCAGAGGCATCACACTATCAAGAAGGAAAAGATCAATATCAAAGGAAACAAGGAAGAGAATCATATTCTATTGAGACTAGCTCACGTGTATTCACGGTTGATATCCCATCTCGTAATAGGAACTAAGTGCAGTAATATGTATACACACGACGGAAAGAGGGGGACTACTACTGTAATCTGTATTCAACTGTATTAAGAGTAAGGTTGAAACGGAGGTTCTTTTTCTTTTTCTTTGTTTTTGATAAAATACCCTTTATTGCTATTCTAACAATAGAGAAACATAGAAAAGGGAAAAAAATAAAATTAAATTAATAAATTTTTTTGTTAATTATATATATATATATATAGTTTTTCTTGTATAGATCTTTTCTTTTGGTGCTTATTATTGCACTATTTTGTTTTTCTTGCTTTCATCCTTTCTGTGTTTACTATGTTTCCGTTCTTTTTTTTTTCCTTTTATTTCATTCTTTTCATTGGTTTTTGTTTTGTTTTGTTTTCTTCTTTATATGTACCTTTATTGCCAATTTCTTTTTTTGGAGGGATTTTCAACCCCTTCTTTATTATTATTATTATTATTATTATTATTATTATTATTATTATTATTATTATTATTATTATTATTATTTTCTTCTAGGAAGCTGTGAAATGAATATATATACACCTGTAATTGTACTGGTACAGTCAAGCTCGTTGCGGTGTTTTTTTTTTTCTTTTTTTTTTGGCGTTTTCTTCCATTTGTTTATTTTTTTTTTGAATGATTTGGTAAATATTGGCGTAAAAAAAGCCTCGGAGTGAATAACCTGAAAAGATTTAAGTTTTAGTGTTTGTTGTTTGTTTGTTCTTCCTCACTGTTTTGATTGATTAAATTGGGAGATGGGTAATGGATTTCTGTTAGCAATAGATGAAGTGCTCGTTTTTTTTTTTTTTTTTCTGTTTTATATTGAATAAGGCTGTAGGACTAAAGTAGGAAGCGTATTTATTATTAATTATTATTATTATTATTATTATTATTGTTATTATTATTATTATTATTATTATTATTATTATTATTATTATTTAGTTAAAGAAAGAAAGGAGAGGGCATCTGTGTGATGTTATCGAGTCTCCTTGCTAAGATTACAGCAGCCCCGCAGGATGCAGATCACTACAACACACTGGAGTCTACATTAGAGCAGCATATGAATGAACTCATTACGCAGCATCATTTACTTAAAACGCCTCTTATGGAATTAATGAAATGTGATAAACAGGCAGCCCAAACATCTTCACATGGTTTCGCCATGGGATTAACGTATTTGGCAACCGCTATTGTTTTAAGTGAATCTCCGGTGGAAAATGAAAATGCCTCTTTAGTACTAAACACAGTGGAGCATCATCTTCTCGCACCGGCCTCCACTGCATATACACAACTTCGTGGACACCGATCTACATTAGAACGCTTTGAATTGTTACTTCGTGGCTATATTGCTCTTCTTGATATCTGCGATGCGGGAAATTATAGACGAAAGTTGTATTATCTACATAAGGCCTGTATTCACTTTACTCCTTCTTCGGAATCTCTTAGTGTGGCGCATGCGCTGTTGGTGCGAGAGGCGGCCCGGGCGCATTGCCCCTCGCCTGCACTTTCTGTGATGTCTCAGTCGGTGTTGGATATCTCGCCTGTTGATACTGGGGCTGGTGTACATCACTTTTATCGATATTACTGCGAGGGCGGGATGTTGTTAGCGGGACTGCAGTGTTGGGAAGATGCCGCGGCGTGGCTTCGTGCGGTTCTTTTACTCCCACAACGTGCCTTACGTGGGGCGATGGCTTCGCAAAGAGATGTAGAGATGGATACATTACTGTTGAGAGCGCGAAAGGCACTTATTCTAGTTTCTATTATTGCCCATGGGGAGTTCTCAGATCCGGTGGATCGAAAGAAATCTAAACATATGATGCAGCAGTTCCACAGAGACTCCACGGAGCCGTATCTTCGACTTCTCTCCGCCGCCTCCAGACGAGATGGGAAGATGTGGGAAACGGTAGAAAAACACTCAGCGTCTCTTTGGGAAAAGGATGAAATGATGGAACTCGTTGTAGAGGCTGGAGAACGATTGAAGCGACATGTAATTCGTGATTTGGCAAAGGTAGCGAATCGTGTCTATCTCAGAGATATTATCTCTACACTTCACAAACATGGACTGTCGACTAAAAGTGAGAAGAAAGAGGAGGTGGATACTGTAATAGATCTTCTTTTGATTATGCAAGAAGAGGGAGAAGTGCGGGTGAGTCTTGAGCATATTCAATGCCCAGATGAACAGACCACGGCTGGAGAGGCGGAAAATGAAATGGAACTTTCGAATGTAAAACGTATAGAAAAAGAAGAAATCGTGGTTCGATTGTCTATACCGTCAGCACGTATTCCTACAGCACTGGGGAATTCTCGTAAAGGTGTGGATGTGCTTTGTTTATCGGATGAGGAACGTAAACGATTTATACAGGCACAACTCCATCGTGCATTGGAGGAACGTATACAAAGATGTGAACGGGCCCATCAGGCATTATTGCAGGCGACCGAGTTAACGGCATTGGGAGAAAAAGAAATGGGTGAAAGAGGAAAAGGTATCATGTATGGAAGGAATACACATTTATACAATAATGAAGAGATGGAAAACAATCTCACTCATGGTGTTTGGTTATAAATAAATAAATAGAGAAAGAGAGAAAGAGAGAGAGAGAGAGAGAGTTGTAATACCTCTGGAGTTGAGGAATATAAAGTTTTATTATTGCTGTTTATAATTGGTAGTAAGAACTTGCTCTTCATTATATATATATATATATATATATGGGAATTCCGTGTTTCTATCTTTGTTGTTGTGGTTGTTGTTGATGTTGTTGTTGTTTCTTCCCAGTAGGGGGATTCGTTTTATTTATTAGTTTTGCTTCCTTCTACCGTTGCGTTTCTGTTGTTGTTTATCTTTTTTCTTTTTTTTTTTTCTTTCATGCATCTTATCATATACAACATATCCATCCTCTATCTGTCTATCTCTCTCCATATATATTTCTGTGTTTATTTACTTTCTTCTTTTCTCTCATGTTCTTTTTTTTTTGTGTGTGCATGGGGTCTGAACACTTTTCCAAGGCAGCAGTAGTAATAATAGTAATAGTGTTAGTAGGTTCTATACAATTACTACTACTAGGGTCTCATTTGAAATACAAGTAAAGAAATACATACACGATACAAGAAAAATACGTGTTTTTTTTTTTTCTTCTTTTCGTGTTCCTTTTTTTCCTTCTTAATTAATTAATTGATTGATTTAAAAAGAAAAAAGAAAAAAATAAGAGATATTTTTTTCTCTTTTTTTTTTTCTTTTTTTTTTTCTACAGGGAGTGAAATTGTAGAAAAAAATAAAAATAAAAAAATGGCAGCAAATACACAAAGACCGCTGACGTTTTTTACACTGGTATGGCTGGTATTGCTTTTGCATCTTCAGCCAACGATAGCGGAATCCGAAGAGTACAATCGACAACATCAACACTCTGCGGCTGTTTCTATTCCACAGGTGAATAAAACAAAGAGTAATAGCGATAAAAAAGAACTTCAAGCCTTTCGAAAGAAAAACAATCTTATCATTACTAAACTTATTGTGATTAGTCGACATGGTCATCGTGCCCCAAATGCCCCTTATTGGGATATGTGTCCGAATGACAGGAAGAATCGTCGCAAGTATAATGTAGATGCGGAGGATCTTACTGGACTTGGTATGAAGGAAGTGTATGAGTTTGGGGAATATGTACGGCAAACCTATCATCACTTTATTGGCAATCGTTTTAATCGCAGTTTACACTTCTTCCGTGCGGTTGGTGAACCTCGCATATTACAATCCGCTATTGCGATGTCGCAGGGACTTTTCCCGGATGGATATGGTCCTGGTGGATTTCTCCCCAGCCGACCGCAGTTTGTGCCGGTCTTTTCCGATATGGACACACATGAGTATTTACTGGATAATGTGCCCTGCTTTAGACGGGCAGAGGCGGATGTGCAGCATTGGATTAACAGCAGTATGGATGCCTTTATGCAGGATGAGAATGTGGTGGAGGTGGTAAAGTATATGAAGAAGGCATGTGGATTTGAATCCGCCAAGGCAAAAGTAAAGAAACGTCCATTATATGCTTTTATTAAAACTGTAGCGGATGGAATGACATTTAATGCGGATTATGGATTAAATGTTTGTCGTGGACGAGTAACACCGGAGATGCTTTTTCGGATTCGTAATATATCTCTACAACTCCTCATGGCTCGATTATATCACACAGATGAACAACAAACGTACACCGCCGTGGATCTCCCACAACGTCTACTGCGACTCCTACACCACAAACATCCACCCAAACCACAGTATTTAAATGATTTTGTGGATACACGACAAGAGGCAACTTTTTATTTTGTACATCGAGAGGCATTATATGCATTGGCACAGTTCTTTGGATTCTCTTACAATCTTGCTGGGCTTCCACACGGAGAACTCCCAGTCGCTTCATCCCTTATAGTGGAAAAACTCGAACCAGGTGAATACTTCAATCATAGGAATAAAGATCATCCTGCTGTTACTACTAATACCATTGAGACTAATGATAGTGATAGTGATAGTGCAGATGATAAAAAACACGCTGTAAAGGCGTATGTGAGATTATTGCTGTGGACACCAAACGATGGCAGAAGTACGGTGGAGATATCGCGATGTAAAATACCGCAACTCTGCACAGTGGAAGAACTGGAACAAATTTACACTGAACGTGTGAATCGAACAGGGACGTGGGAAAAGTTGTGTAACTACACATATTTTGAACTTGATCATAACACTGACATTCGTTAGAAGTTTTTAAAACAATAAAAAATAAAACAATAAAATAAAAAAAAAGGTGCAATTTTCCGGTCTGATGAAAAACAATGAAAATGAGTAAATGGAACGAACGTAAGTGGGGAGAAATATATATATATATATATATATGTCATTGACGTGTTTTTTTTCCTCGTTATGAGTGTGTGTGTGTTGAGAGGAGATAATGAATTAGTGGAAGTGTCCAAACAAACAAACAAAAACAAACATGTTTATTAGCGGTCTCGCAGTTCTCCCTGTTATTAACGTGAAGTCTCCTGTCATAAAAAAAAAAAAAAAAATAATAATAATAATAATAATAATAATAATAATAATAATGAGAGCAAAGAAGAAGGAAATATAGGAATGGAGTGGGTTAAGGTTTGTCTTTAGAATGGAAAGGAATTGAAGTATTTATATATATATAGTTAATTATATAAAGAAGAAACACTGTTCAACAATAGTTCTTCTGCAAGGGCAATCCTACATATATAAAAGTACATCCACCTGTATATTCCTTCTCCTAATATATATGTACAGAGAAGACGATGAAAAGAATATATATATATATAATTACTTTCAAATCTCTTTTTTTTAATCCATTGTTTCTTCTTTGTACTTTATGTGTAAGGCGAGGGGCAGAAAAGACCGTGCACCTAGAAAAAAGCAAAGAAAACGAAAGAAAAAAGAAAGAAAAGGAAAAAAAAAAGATATAACGAGGGGATAAACAAGGTACGGAAAAGGAAAAAAAAGAAAAGAAAAAGAAAGAAAAACGTGAAACACCATTAATCCAACCCAGAGACATTAACAACAACAACAACAAGACGAATAAGGAAGAAGAAGTATAAATAGATGGATCCATCGAAGCGTATCTGCCTAAAGAACATCCCCCCGGACTGCACCAAGCGTGAGATCGCGGAGTTCATCCGCAACCGCACGGGTGCGCAGCCGCACAGTATTGACTTGGGCCTCGACGCGGACGGCAGGCCCCGCCGCTACGCCCACTTCTCGGCGGAGGGCGCGAGGAACATCGTGCCGGTCCTCAGCGGCGCCACTTGGCGCGACTGCACCATCACCGCCCTGCCCGCCCGGCCGCACTACACCCACCGACTCGCGGAGGCCCGGCGCCGGCAGCAGCAGGCCGAGCAGGAGGCGGAGGAGGCGCGCGAGGCCCACTGGCGGCACTGCACGGAGAAGTGGCTCGCGAAGACCGGCGGCGTGCTCCCAGCGGGGCGGGGGCCAAAGTCCTTCTACGCGACCAGGCAACGCTACGCCGCCGTGGCCGCGGAGATTGCACGGAAACTGCGGGAGGAACACAGGAGTAAACACTATACACAGAATGGAGAGGCAGCGGGGAAGAACTACCATTACGCTCAACAAGGAAGAGAAGAAGCTGGAGAAGGAGGAGGTATGGCATTATCTACAACGGAGAATGTGGAGGGGAATGAGGAACGGCGGCCGCGTATGGGCGAAAACACAAAATCGAATCAACACTACAAACATCCACGCAGTAAAGGTGCCTTTTCATCAGCTAAAGGGGCAAAGAAGCCGAGAACGGAATCTACTAATAAAAATACTACGACTACTACTAATAATACGACCGCAGAGAAAAAGAAGGAGCCTGAGAAGCCACCAGCACCTTCGAAGGAGGAGCGGAAACTCTCAGGCTTACAAGCGAAACTAGCCGCACTGCGTGCAAAGATGAAGTGATTCTTCTTTCTTTCACCACTTTATGGACACGTTATCTCTATCTGTGTTTGATGCCTCTGCTTTCTCTATCGTACACTCACTGACAGAGAGAAAGAGAGAGAGAGAGAGAAGTGTGTCTGTTTTTTTTTTTTTTCTAGTATGACCTTGTTTCTCTTCGTTCTGTAACCTCTTTTCGTGTAATCTAACAGAATGAAGTAAAAAGGAGAGAAATGGAGTGTGATTTAACATGCTTTCTCTATTTGCTTAATTATTTCTTTTTTTTTTACTTTACTTTTCTTTTTATTTCTCTTTTTACTCTTGTCTCTGTAGTAGTGGTCGTGTCTCTTGCTTCTCTTGACATTTCCTTCTTGTTTGTTTGTTTGTTTTCCCTACCTCATAGCTTAAACTCTATAGCATAAGAAAATAAGAATAAAAGCTCTGACAATAACAAACAACTTGTGATAGGTGGAAAAAGGAATTATTTATTATTATTATTATTATTATTATTATTATTATTATTTATTTATTTATCATCGTCTCTCTCTCTGTGGTGTGTTACTCCCCACTTCATTTCTTTTTACAACATGGACCGGAACAATGGTGGAGGTAAAGATATACGCAATGATGTTGATGATGGACTCTATCGAGCAGCGCGTTTTTTCTTTGTTGAAGATAACGTAGATGATGTGGAGTTTGGCTCAAATCCCCTCGGCTTACCGGCGGCATCTTCCCCAAGAAACAACACGAATTCCTTAGCCACTGTCTCTCTACACTCCATGATACCAGATGATGATTCCGAAACTGAAAGCAGTAGTAGTAGTAGTAGTTGTTTTAGTAGTAGTAGTAGTAGTAGTAGTAGTAGTATTGATGATAATGATAGTGGTATTGTTGTTATTAATGCTTCTCGTGGGAATGATAATATGAGTGGTAATAATGTTAATGTTCCCAGTAAAGTAGAGCCACATGGAAATGAGGGAAAGAATATTCTCTTCTCGAGTCGTGAGAGTGGTGATAAGGCAATTAATAAGGATATGGAGAAAAACAAGAAGACTGTTGTGGTAGAGAAACCAATAAATGTAGTGAGAGTACCCACAAAAGAAACAACAACAACAGCAGCAGTAGAGAAAGAGAAAGAGAAGGATAGTGAAGGGGATGAATGTACATTTACTTCACCAGTAAAGGAGGGGACTTCTTCAGATAACAGTAAACCAAAAATATGGAATACTTCTCGTATATTTCTTCGTATTTTAACATTTTGCAATTGTTCGGATCTTTGTAGTGTTATGCTCGTATGTAAACGATTTCATCACCTAGCTACACGTGATACATTGTGGAAAGGTATTCTCAATCGCATGAATTTACAACCACTTCTTAGTATGCCTGAATCTCCCACACAAGACTATTATCAATACTTTATTCATCAAATTATTACCACTAAAGCCATTCATGGGCATTATTTTTTTATGGCAGCCACCCCACCAGAAGGTACATTTGGTATTGGTGGTTTTAATCAAATTGTACATGGAAATGGTAAATGGGATAGTGATGATGACTACGATGATGATGATGATGGAAGAGGCGGTTCTGTCTTTTCCGCCTGTTCACCCACCGCAGATGACGACTCTATCTACACAGTTGAATCCATTACCCTTAGACTCTCCTCTGCCTTGCTTGGTCAAATAAATCACAGTATTGGTCGTGTACAGATGCTTATTGGGTATAAGGATAAAGTATCTGAGATCATTCAAGGTGCAGCGCGATTCTCTTGGCGTCGTGGATGTTTTGTTTTCTGTTGTTCCTCCTTTGGATCAACTCTCGCTGGTCCTATCTTTACAGTGGCTATCAATACAGTGCAGAAGCCATGGCCAAATCAATCGAAGGAGCAGTTCAGTTCTCATAAAGGAGGTCTGCGGTTTATTATGACTCCGGTGTTGCCAGAAGGGGCTGGTCCGGAATCGCGTATTAATGAGACGGATATTTTAAGTGTGAGTCGTGCCCTAATAAATCACAATTCACAAGAACACGAAGTAGCGCAGACATAAACACAGGAATACATCTGAAATATGTTTCTTAGGATGAAAAAAAGGAATATATATATATATATATATATATATATATATATATTTGTATAGATTAATGAGATATTCGTGTCTTGTGGAGGAGGTGGTTGTTGGTAGGGGGTATACTGGCAGCTATTTATTTATTTATTTATTTATTTATTTCATTTTGTTTAATTGATATTTCTTGAGTTTTGTCTCTCATCTCCATTTTCTTCTTTAACCCTCTGTTTTAACAATGGTTGAAATATGTCTGTATCTTTTATGCCACTTTTATTTTTTTTTTTAATTTTTTTTTTGGCATTGATTATTTATTTGTTTCTGTAAAAAGGAGAATATGGGATGAACAGAAGTTCAATACAATAGAAAAGGACGTACAGAAAGTGTTTTTTTCTATTTCTTTTTCTCTCTCTATCTATCCCTCTCTCTATCTATCTATATCTATCTATCTATGTTTGTTTGTGAAAGAAAAGGAAGGAGAATAAAAACACAAATACAAAGAGTTTGGAGTGAAAAGAGGTTGGTGACAAGTTTCACTCGGAAATCGCAGAGGAATTCAGCGATATTAACAAAAAATATATATACAAAAAAAGGAAGAAAAGTGATTCCTAATATAGGCGGTGAAAGTAGATTTGTTCTTCTATTACTACTACTACTACTACTACTACTACTATTATTATTACTATTATTATTACTATTATTATTAGTTCGTACTCCTATTCCCCATTGGTATCCATATTGCGAGTTTGACCAGTATCTATATTATATAAACCAAGACGAAAAAAAAAAAAAAACGTATTGCAGGGATTTTAAATAATAAATAAAAAACAAAAAAAAAGTAAATAAAGTCATGTGGAGTTCTCTCTCAGGACTTGCGGGTTCGCTTGTGGACCACACCGTCGGCAATGTGGTCCGTCTATCCCATTATACGATGGAGTCTTTCCTCCTATGGCGATACGGTTTACAACTTGAGGGACGAGGAAATAAACGTCTTCCTCAACGACCGCAACAGACAACAACAACTAATACTAATACTAATACTACTACTATAATGAACAGTTCAAATGATGGTGTTTCTCAGTCTTCCACACAGGATGACGTGGATGTTTGCCACCGGCAGGCCGTGGCTGGATTAACACTTCTCGCCCAGCGTGTGCCTAGTCTCATGGGTGGATATTACCGCCCAACACTGCAGTCTATCTATGGAAGGCCCTTCACATCACTTGCCGCGGTAAAACAACGGAGTGAGAAAATTGCAGAGAATATTTGGCTCTATCACCTCATTACGCGTGGATCTACCAACATCACCACATCAACAACAACATCATCATCATCATCAACAATAGGAGCTTCAACCCGTGTAGGCACAACGGAGTCCCGCTATCATCAACGGGATGTGGATGATATTCCGGTTGTGGTGTGGTTAGTTATGCCGTGGGAGAGTGAGTCTCCTGTTGTGATGCGGTTTGTGCTTCGACTCGCCCAGTCGTTGGGTTGCAATGCACTCTTTATTATGGTTCCCATGGATGGTGAACATGGGCCTGCGGCTACGGTTTCATCCCTTAATGCGATGATTGAAACTTCCCGGCAGAAAATACAGGCAGGACGGATTATCATTGGTGGAAGTGATCTCGCGGCAATGTTTGTACTTCTTTTGTTAAATAGATGTTGTCGTTTACTTCATGTTGGTGCTTTAGCGGCAGCAGATCCGGAAACAGCACGACGTTCATTTTGTCAGGGAGTCATTCTTGTAGATCCATTTGTTGGATGGGAGACACCTGCCCCCATATACACTACTAGTGGTAATAGTAACAGTAATGGCAATAATAATAATAATAATAATAATAATAATAATAATATAAACTTCACGGGTCCGTCGTCCTCTCATGAGAACGTCTATGGTAATAATCACGGCAACCGTGCAAGTAGACAACAACAACAACAACAGCAACCATCTGCGAAGGATCGTTTCAAACAACTAGTTATGAACAGCAGCGGAGGCTATATTCGTGAGTGGTTCCCCCTCCCCATTACCTGTGAGGCCCCACCTGTGGTTGTATTAGTAGACGAAGGTGGTTTCTGGCTGCAGGAGCAGTGTGAGTTCAACGCCCGTGTGGATCGTCTATCGATGGAGGGAAGTGAAGATCGTGTGTTCTTCTTACCGTACAGTATTGGAACTGCGGCGGCGGGAACGATGGTGTCGTGGTCCACAAGTGTGGAGTTGGAGCGGCTCTGGCGCATGGTGGAGAACTTTCTCAGTGAGCAGCTTTCCCAACGGGAACTCCACAGCTCAGCAGATGTATTCCTGTCCTCAGGAACTGCCGGGCGAAGAAGAGAGGGAAGAAGAAGAAGGAGAATAACAACACGAAGAGGAAGAGAAGAAAGACGAGAGAATAGATCTGGGGTAACAGTTCAACCGCGTCTTCGTGAAGGGGAGGCAACGTATTTGGCGGCTTATGCTCCTTAGTAGGGTGGGGGGAAGTTATTTATATTTAGATATATATATATATATATATATATATGAGAAGGAACGAAAAGAAAAAAAGAATACCGTAGAGAAGAGAAAATGAAAGAAAAAAAAAATAATTATTATTGTAAAAAGGGGGTTTGGTTACTATCCGTTAGATATGTTCGAATCAGTATTTGAAGTGTTGGTGTGTGGGATAGTTTTTACTCCATTTTTAATTTTTTTTTTTTTTTTTGCAACACTTCTTCAAGTTTATTTTTGCGTGTCAGAAAGTAAGAAAGAGTGTTTAATGTGAAGTGTGCCTTTAAACCAATATGTCTATGGGAGTGGATAGTTCGTATTTGCTGGGAATTGATATTATACAAAAAAACTTTTTTCGTTTGTTTGTTTGTTTTGTTTTGACTTTTATTGGCTTATTTTCATTACCTTCTAATTTCGAACAATTGTTCTAAGAGTGATGTAAGAAAAAGAAACTTTTATTTAATCGATTTTTTTTCTTTCCTTGTTTGTTTTTTTTTTCCTTTTTGTTCTTCTTCTTCCTCCTGTTGTTGTTGTTGTAGTTTTGATTTATTTCAGTTATACCTTTCTCTCTTTTTTTGATTTTTTTTTGTTTTTATGCTCAACGACTTCTATTCCCGTATTACTTGTATACAAATACCTCCAGTAGTGGCTGGTACCTGGTGTATATATATATATATATATATATATATATATGTATATATATATATTTCTCTATTTATCAGTGTCTAGTTCATACTATCATTGCCATAACTGACTGGAGGGATGAGAATCAAAGAAAAGCAAAAAAGAAAAAAAAGGAGTGTAGAGGTGAAACAACGTTACAGACGAGGGAAAGGACGTTAACTTAATTTGATTGATATAACCAGTGAAAAAGAAAGAAAGAAAGAAGAAGGAAGTGACAAGAAAACGGTGAGATTAGAAGAAGAAGAAAAAAAAAATGAGAAGAATGAGCCTCTTTCATTACTTCTTTCTTCTTAACATTATTACCGGATTTGGGCATTTGTTTTTCTTTTACTACCAGCAATACTATTACTATTACCACTACTATTACTATAAGTGTTGAAAAAAGAAAAATCGTTGATAAAACGGTGACCTTTTTTTTTTATTATTATTATTATTTTGGTGTTGTTTTTGGTTTTCTTGTTTTCTTTTCCTTTCTTTCTTTTTGTTCGTTCTTCCGCTTTATTTTAGTATTGTTTCCATTCATCATTATTATTATTATTGTTATTATTGGTTTTTTTTTTCCATTTGGATGCGGCGTTAAAATGCCTACAGAAAAGTTCAAGTGGCTGTGGAATGTGGTTTTATTGCGCCCCTCTTGGGAGTTCTTGGAAGGAAACCTCTATCCACGTGGCAGCCGTAAAGTATATAAAAGAAGTAAAAGAAAAGAAAAGAAAAGGCCTAAGAGTGAGTACGTGAGTGAACGAAAGGGAAGAGAAAAGAGAAGAGAAGAGAAGAGGAGAAAATAAAAATAAGAGAAAAGGACGGTTCTTGTTGTGAGTGGTGTTATGAATTAGTTCTTATTGCTGTTATTGCTATTTGCTATTTTTTTTTTGCTGTGTGATTTATTTTTCTTGTTCTCATTTCACATCTTCCCTTTTAACTTCTCTCTGTACGTTGCCTGCAATTTATTTGTTTTTCTCTTTTTCACTTAGTGTGTGTTTGCATCCGTTTTCAATTCCTCCACATATATATATATATATATTCTCTATATCTTTGTGCGTATATATTATATCCACTTCTCTTGTTTTCTTCTTCTTTTTTATTCTTAACTACATTACCACCACAAATATCATCACCATCACCACATATACACCAATAAAGAGGAAAAGGGAAAAAAAAAGAAGGTCACGCACAAACTCCATACAAAGAAAATAAAAAAAAAAAATTAATTGATAGAGGTACATGACGTCTAGCAGTACACCCTCACTTACCGTACGCACCCTTGAAGTTCTCTGGCACGGCTGTGAACGTGATGAGGAGGCGGTGCGTCGTGGACTGCAGGGCGTTGCGATTGAAGGCATTGTCTCTATTGACTACTGCAGCCGCGGCCATCGCATAGTGACCTGCGGCGGTGATGGACACATTCGACTCTGGCGACTGCACCCGACGGCAACAGACGCGTGGCTGGCGAATGGGCAGTGCGATATGACGGCGTGTGTGTCGTACATCACCGGCATGCGAACGGCGTGGACGCCACTCACCGCCCGCTGGTCACCACACGGTGGGATGATTGCCTCTGCACACTGCGATGGGAAGATTTGTCTCTGGTGGCAGGAGCGCAGCAGCAATAATAATAACAATGGTAATAATAATAATAATAGGGGGAGTGGGATGGAGAGACATAAGGTGAATGGTCATGGCAATGGGGATGATGATAGTGATGAGGAGGATGATGTTGATGATACGGCGGTGTGGAAGGATTATCGTCATCTCTCTGGTCATGTGATGGATGTGTATGATATCTGCTTCTCCCCGGATGCGCGTTATCTCCTCAGTGCGGGTGGAGATGGCAGCATTGTCATTCACGATCTCGGTGGTAATAACACTCTCAATAATAGTAATAATAATAATAATAATAATAGTAATAATAATAGTGGAAGTACGGTGCCTGTTGTGCAATTGCAGGAAGTCCATCGTTCCTTCTGCCGCGGAGTGGCGTGGGATCCGTGGCGTCGCGGGGTGGCGACTTTCGGTGGAGCCCCGCCGTTGTTGTTTTTTTCACACGTTCCCTCGACTGCTGGCCGGCGTACACATTTAGCGGCCCAGCGACGTGCGGCGGGGGAGTACATTGGCGATTCCTGCGCGACAACGTTTAGACGATTTGGGTGGTCGCCGGATGGATCCATTGTGGCCGTGCCGTATGGAAAGGCAACCTCCCATCAGCCACAGAATAATAATAATAATAATAATAATAATAATAATAATAAACAGAAGAATACAAATGATCCGAATCATCAGAAGAGTACAGGTAGTAGTAATGGTATGACGATGGATACAAATGGGAATGGGAATAGTAATTGTGAGGCGCGAAAAGCAGATGATATGATACATTGTGTATATTTGTATACACGTAATGCCCCAGAGAAGGTAGCAGGCCGTCTGATTGTGCGGGGTTACTCTGAGATTCGTGGTGTACTCTGGGCCCCATGCTTCTTGGAGCCAATAGAAGAAAAGAAGAAAGAGTATCACAACACCAACGAAGAAGAAAAGGAAAAGGAAAAAGAAGAAGAAGAAGAAGAAGAAGCCATTATAAAGAAACGAGAGGAATCTCTAAGAGAACGCGGTTCATGGGGTCCAGATGATTATCGCATGGCAATGGCTGTCTGGACAGCAGATGCGGTGGTGATCTACACAACAGACAGTGCTGTACGCCATAGTGATTACACAGATCTTCACATGCGTAGTATCTCTGATGTGGCGTGGAGTCCCCATGCCAAATATTTACTCACCGCCTCACTTGACGGTTATGTCTCTGTCATCTCAACAGGCGGATCGCTGGGCATCACCCACAAACTCCCCACATTCTCTACAAAGCCTGTCACTATGGCTCTCTCTCGTATGCTATCAGAGATACGTCAGATTGGAGAAAAGGTGGAACTTGGGAGGAAACAGCCATCTATGGATACAACAGCCGCAAAGTCGGTGGGAGGGAGTACAGGTACAGCTGCTGTGGTTGTGCATGCGCCAGTTAAGAAGAAGAAAAAGGTAGAGGAGCCACAACAACAAGAAAAAGAAGAAGCGAAACAACCCGTTGAATTAGTGCAACTAAATGAACTCTCAGACCTTATGGAAGGTGTTTAAGAGGGGAAAGGAAGAAAGAAAGAAAGGGGTGCGCATTTGAATTCGTTTTACTTTTACCATAGAACGGTATCATTACAATTGTTGTGATGAAAGGAATAGAAACATTTTTTTTTAAGGAGGAAAAGAAGGAATAAAATAAAAACAGACGTGTAAGAAGAGATGATGGTAAAAGTAAGTGTTGTACTCCTATTTTTATCCAACCGATTTTCATAGAATGTGTGTGTGTGTTTTCGTTTTTTTTTTTTTTTTTTTTTTCATTCCACTTTGAATGATAACCAGGTGGTCTCTCACCATTTTTCTTTTTATGCTTCTGTGTTACTACCGTAACTTTCACCTCTTGCTCTTGCTAACTAATATATATATATATGGCTATGAAAAAAGGTACACGCATATTCACAGAGTAACGAATGTGTCTTTAATACTATATTTGTTTTTTTTTTGTTTTTTTTTTTTTTGTTTTCTCGTTTTATTTCCTGATCTTTACCTATTTTTTTTTTTTTTGCTCTTCTCATGTGTGAGGGTGTCAGGAAGCAAGGGAAGAGGAGAAGGGAAAGAAAAAAGAAAAAAAAAAAGGGTGAAGAAGAAGACGGGGTAAAAAAAAAAAAAAGCTTAACACTTGAGCGAGATCGAGAAGATTTAGCTAAGTAATAGAATCACCGATTCTTCTAGCAGCTTGAAATTGATAGAACCTCTTTGACCGTTGGGGAAAGAAAAAGAGAAAGAAAGAAAAAAGTGAGAAGGAGAGACAGAGAGAAATAGAACGAAAGAAAGAGAAAAATATATATATATATATATAAATAAAAAAAGAAAGAAAGAAGGAAAAAAAAAAAAGAAAAGTTACTGATCTCCTCACAATGATGTCCATGACTGGTTTTGCCGAAACCTCTGGTGGTGTGCTCACAACACAGAATCATCGCAAGATCGATGGGAACATGACAGATCCTGGGAGTGATGTTCGTGGGAATATTGCCCGTTTAACAGCGAGAGCTCGTCAGCTGCTCGTTAACGATACCGACACCCGTGTGGTTCGCAATGGACTCAGTGCGTATGAGACTTCACGGAAAATGGCCTCAGATGTTTGTACACGTGCGAGGGCTCCTGGTCAGACGAGTTCTACACAAGCATCGGTAGAACTCTTTATGGCCAGTCTTGGATTTAATCTGCAGGAACAACAACGTTTATTACAACAATTACAGGCAAGTCAATTATCATTGGCGGCAGCAGCAGCGGCGGGGGGAGTTGGAATCGTCTCAGAGGCTTCCGGTTCTTTCTTTCCACCCCACACAGAGGATGAATTGGGAAGTTCATTGGAGGCTTTTGTGGCGAATTGTAGAAAAGAAACGATGCGACGTAATGTGGAGGAAATGCATCAACGTGTTGGTCATCTTGTGCAGGAACGCACGGAAGATATTATACGTGCTGTCTGGGATAAATACAGTGTGGAGGTGGCAGATGCGTTTGAGTCTTACGCTATAAAGAGTGCAGGTGGTGGTCAGTTAACACGTGTGAAACCACCCACAAATAATACAAATGCCATCACTCCACTACAACCACGTGCAGGCGTGATGTCGTTATTAAAGCGACGAGATTCTGTTTCTACACGAATGCTAAATAAGGTTGCCACCTTTGCACAGATTGTGGATACACAACCACCATTGAGATGGTTAACTCACTTTGCTGCTCATATAGCAGATGATACTCCCTCTATTACAGATGAGGTCGCTGTTCTTTGGGCCACTGTTGAGCAGATGCTTCAACCTATTATGCAACATGGTTCTGCTAGTACTATTATGACTTATGTTGCCTCCAGTCGTCATATGATGGAGCGAAAGGCACTTGTCAGTCTTTTATCACGTACACTTAAAGTGGATTCAAACCGTTTTGGAGAATTGGAAAATATGCATGCGACTCGTTTTATTGAAGCCGTGCAGCGTTACACCTCTTCTTCTAATCCCTGGGCTCATATTTATACAGCCATGCGTTGTGGACGTTATGATGCTGCTGTGATGATAGCCAATAGTGCTGGATTTCGTTTGGTGGAGGCAAAACTTGAAGCCTATGCGAATGCACCGATGACACAACGCAGTACACTTCCATCTGCTATGGATTTACGCCAATTGTATGAAGAAGAAGCTACCCGTTTGGATCCACATCGACAAATTGTTTTACTCCTTTTACTTCTTGGAAATACAGGAGAGAGCAGTGATGTGGTGTTGTCTACTGTGGCATCACTGTCATCAAGGGTAGCACACTCACTTGAGGATACGTTGTGGATTCGATTATTCTGTGTACGATCGGTGGAGGTTTGTGGAGGTGATAAATTACAATCTCTAGCAGAGATGCAGCGATTGTTGCTTGATGATATGCAGGAACTTCTCGCATTGGTGCGTGGAGATGTAGTACGATTGGCATCACTTCTCATTCACGCCCTTCTTCCATCATCTGGGATGCGGTTACTTATTGAGAATGATACCACCTATGTGGATGGCATTCATCTCGCTATTTGTTTTTACATTTCTCAACTCTTACCTTGTGGTGATGTGGAGGTTCCTATTGATTTAACTCGACTTATTCCACAATACTGCTCACTCGTACTTCTTGACACAGATAAGCGTCAAGTCTGTATTACACGCACAGGAGCCGCTATTTTTCGCTACTTTCTCTGCACAAACCTTGTAAGTGTGTTTGTGGATTATTGTGGAAATGAATTGGTGTGTGCGAAACTCTTTGGTCAGCGTGGTGGTAGTCGTGCAGGCAGTGATGGTGTTTTACTGCAGTGTACACCATCTACAGAATTACTGGAGGCGATGGAGCGAGTGGCAGAGGCGGCGGTATTGCGTGGACAAACAGAACTCGCCGTGCATGTCTTTTCCGTACTGGAGAGTGCGGCCGCCCACGTACATGATGAGAATCGTGCGAACTACGCGTTAAGTCGTGCTGTGCAGATCATCTGTCCAGCCCTTTCTCGTGCCTTTCATCATCCACCCACCAGTGAAAGTACGAATCTATTTGTACATGCCGCCAATCTGCAGGATCGTGTGGTGCGATCCAAGCGGAGTATTCCACACACCCACGCAGAGGCCTTTCAGTTACTTTGTAAGATGAGTGAAGTATTCGTGAGTGCGGCCCGTAATGAGTCTGAGGTGGCCCTCCATCACTTCTACAGTCTTCCATTTATTCCCGCCAGTAATGAGGATGTGGAGCGGTGTGCGGAGTTGTTTGACACAACCCCCGAGTGTGTGGATACCGCCACTCCGCCTATTCTCATGCTCGCCGTTCAACACATGCTGCGACTCGCGGCGGAGTATAAAGCGCGGGGAGAAGAAACGGCAATGGTGCAACTGCGGCGGCGGGTGCATGTATTGACCATGTGGGCTCGTTGTTGGAAGAAACAACATGTGGGACATCGCCTAACAGAGGAGTTGGCATCACTTGATAAGATGTTTCTGCTGTAAGTGAGAGAAAAAGAGAGAGAGAGAGAGAGAGAGAGAGAAGTGGAGAAGAGAAGAGAAGAGAGATCTTCGCAAGAAGGAATGGACACAGAACTCGTACAACACATTATATATATATATATACTCAGATGGGGGAATAGAAAGAAAGAAAGAAAGAAAAAAAAAAAAAAGAGAAAAGAGAGAAAGGGAAAGAGTGAAAGGAAAAAAAAAAAGGTTTACTGGTGAATTGCGGGTGTGGAGAGCATATTGTACCTGTTCTCTTTTCTTGTTTTTCATTTTTGTTTCTCTATTTTTCACTTTTTTTTTCTTATTCTTGTATGTTGATTGAGGTATTCAGGTGTGGGTCCTTTTTTCCTTTTTTTTTGTTTACGTGATCTGCTTAACACTCTTATTAAGTACAGGTGTTTCTTTTTTTTTTTTCTTGACGTGTTATTCTATCTGTTTTTTTATTTATTTATTTAATTCAGTGTATCAACTCCTACTATTTCGCTCTCTCCAAACAAGTGTATATGTGATATATTTTTTTTATAATTTCTTCTTCTTCTTATGGTTGTTAATTATATATATATATATATATATATATATATATATTCTTTGTACATTAAAGGCAGTCGCATGCAATCTTTAGAGCAGCGGTTGGCCCTTATCGCTGCGGACTACGCCGCCCTCTATCGTGAATTGGCACGACTGCATCTTCTCACACCACATGAACTAAACATTCATTCATTTCAAACGGTATTTGATCGCCTGCATCTGGAGTATCTGCACTACGCCGGTTCTACCGCCACTCAACCATTTCACCGTGATGTTATTGAGAATGTACTGCAACTCGCCGCTGCGTACCTCTCACTTCCCACAGAGGCAAGTCCCAATAGTCGGGCCTTTGGCATGTATCTTCTCTTCTTTATGTATGCCACCCAACCCACTATTGATACTACTCCAATAAAAGTGCGTATCTCGCTTGGAACACTTCAGAACTACGTGGCAGATGCAACTGCCACATCATCATCATCATCATCATCATCATATAATAATAATAATAATAATAGTAATAATAGTGTCTGTGAACACTTTGGATCATGTGTGACAGCTGGTGAACGACAATTGATGCTCACACTTCATCAAACAGGGGCATGGCATATTGTTCCCTTTGACGATATCGCACCTTATGTACGAACACTACTGGAGGTGCATGAGGCAGAGGGAGTCCCACTCATAACGAAGAGTCGTAGTAATCCGAAAGAAAAGAATAAACAACGAAAAGGACAATTGGTGTTGTTGGAAAGTGTAGGTACAAGTAATGATAAAACCGCACTCTCACAACAGTTGGAGGCGTATGAAGCGATGAAGCGACGTTTGGGTCTTGATAAGGAGTTGGCATAGTGCTGAGAGAAGCATTAGCCACCCATATGCGTTTATATTTATATATATATATATATATATAATCTGTATACATTGTTTGTTTCTGATCATTTATTTCTGTCATCTACGAGTTATTACTCTCCATTTCCCCTATACTTTTATTGTAAACAAACTACGTTCTCTCTACCTCTACCTCTACCTCATACATACATACATTTGAAGAGAGAAGGAATTAGGGAAAGATTGGGATTACATCTTAAAAGGATTACTGGGAAATGCATCGTCTTGCTTTTCGTCTGCAGGTATACTCTGCAGTGAGAACCTCTATAGGATGTATACATGCATCGTGTCGACAAAGCACCATAAACAGCAAAACAAATTATACACATCGTCCAAAGTCTATGGGATTAATTGATGTCTTGGGTAATGAAGAGAGTCCTTCCTCTTCTTCTTCCCCTTCCACTTCTTCTTGCTCTTCTTATTCCACTTCTACAGAGGGTGAAACAAGTTCAAGCCAAGAAGGGTCTTGTGTAACTCTGCAACAGATTCTGGAAGATGTCAAAAAGGATAAGACGATAGATGACAATAATAATAATAATAATAATAATAATAATAATAATAATAGTGTTGGTAATGGTAATGATAGTTCACATGGTGGGATATCGTCTAGGAGTCGTGGTTTACTGTATAAGGTACAAATTGCTGATCGATATGGTATGCCTGCTGAACTCCCATCGGGATCTCCACAGACTTTTGAAGAATTGAGTAGTTTATGTGCAAGTGACTCTCTTCGTGAACAGTTGCAGCAATTACTTCTCTCGCGTCGATGGAGTGCGATGACAGATGTCCAGCGTACGGCTATTCCAATTATATTAGAGCAGCGCGATCTTCTTTGTATTGCACCAACAGCAACCGGTAAAACTTTCTGTTATGTATTTCCATCCATGTTACGTTTGGTTATGGACGCAAGATCTCATGATGAGATGGGAAAAGATAGTAATAGTAGTAGTAATGATAATGTGGATAATAAGGATCTGTTAAAACGATCTAATGTTGAGGTGTTGTTAAAGGATAAAATAGCTAGAGGAGAGGTATGTCGTTATTGTGAACTCAACATTGCGGAAGTAAAGGTATGTCCAATGACAGGTACAGTTCATCCACCTATTCCTGAACAAATAGATCAATCATTGCGTCCGGCTATGCGATTAAGTGAATTAACATCTGTAGCGGAACCATTAGTACTTATTCTTGTTCCTACATCTCAGTTAGCTATGCAGGTTTATCAATTATGTAATCAATTGCATGCGGATTTTCGAGTAAAATATCTCGTACGTGCATCTAGTGCAGAAGAGCAAAAACGTCATTTAATAGCTTTACAAGGATGTGATGTATTAATCACAACACCTGAAACTATTTTACCTGCTCTTTACAAACATAAACTTTCTCTTAAGCGGGTAAAGACACTTATTCTAGATGAAGTGGATGATTTAGTCTCTGTAAATCATTTTGAAAAGGTTAAAATTATACTTGGAGCCCTTCCTAAAGGTCATAAGCGACCACAACGATTATTGTTTGGTGCCTCTCTTCCTCCTGTGGCGTATCAGATGATTAAAGAACAAATGCTTTTACCCTCTCATCGTTTTGTTCTTGTTGATATTAAAACAGACAAACTTGGACATCCATTAGTGGAGGGTCACTCTACCGCTACGGCATCTATTACACATGTTGTTTTTATGTTATCACAAGTAGAGAAGATGGATAAGTTGGTGTGGCTCTATAAAACTGGAAAACTTAGTGTAGATCAGCGAACTCTTATATTTTGTAATTCCCGTCATAATGTGGCTTATGTCTGTGAACGACTACGTAGTCTTGTGCCCAATCTACACATCACCACCCTCACCTCCCGCACCTCTGCAACGGCTAAAATAGGTACGATGAAACTCTTCCGCAGTGGAGTTTCCACCTGTCTCATCTGCACAGATCTTCTCAGTCGCGGTATTGACTTTCACAATGTTGTCTACGTTGTCCATTACGACACCCCGGCGGAGTTTGAGACGTGGATCCACCGCACTGGCCGCTGCGGTCGCGGTGGAATGCCGGGCTACTGCTACACCTTCTTTCAGCCGGAGAGTGTGCGGCTCGCAAAGCCACTGGTCGCCCATCTACGGCAGACACGGCAGATGATTCCACCCAAACTGCAGGAGTACGCACGGCAGTCCATTGTGGATATGTTTAAGAGTTCACTCTTTTATCACCCAACACGGCCGTATCGATCGGGAGATCCACAGCGACAACATCCAGTGATGGGCCGTGGAACCCCACGATTCCCAGACTATAAACAAGAGAAACTAAATAAGAACTTTCGTCCGCTTTAAAAATTCAATCTGTGGATGTGGGTTGGTGTGGGAAAAGGGGAGCGATTTTCACTATATTTTTGTTCTATTTTACATACATAAACAGACGAATAAGAAGAATGAAAGAGAGAGAACGAGAGACAGAGAAGAGATTGAAATAAGGTCCCTTAATATTTTCTCTCAATGGGAGTGGTTTCTTTTTTTTTTTTGTTGTTGTTTTTCTTGTTTCCATATATATATTTATTTTCTTTGCTTAATGATTGTTCTTCTTTTTGTTTCTTGTTAAGGATCCCTCTCAGTTAAACAAAAAAAAGAAACAAAAGTTCTATTTCCTGTAGACAAATTTTTATTTATTTATTTATTTAAACAAATAGAGTATGACACAATATAAAGAAAACGGTGACGCCTCTAACGCCACTTCAGATGTTGTGCGTATCGATGGGATATATTACGACACAAAGAAATTGGCTGCTGTACATCCTGGTGGATCCATGATGATAAATATGGCCAACGGTACAGATGGTACCCGCATATTTTTAAGTTATCATCGACGAAAGTTTCCCCATGAAAAATATAAAAGCATGCAAGTTCCTGCAGAAAATGTAATTGTTCCTGATACCATGATAGAAAGTGAGTTACCAAACTTTGATGGATATTTGGAACTTTGCGATAAGGTACGTCCTATTTTAAGGCCTACCAATGGATTTGCACCCTGGTATTATTATATAAAAGCCATTTTATGGTGTACGATCGTTATTGCTTTGGATTTATATGCTATCTTTACATGGCGTCCACTCTATTTAACACTTATTCAATCATTTGCAATGGCAATGATAGGCTTAAATGTCCAACATGATGCTAATCATGGGGCATTAAGTCCAAATGCAAAAATTAATGGATTATTTGGACTTTCCCAAGATTTGCTTGGAGGCAGTCGTATTAGTTGGATTATTCATCATGATTTTATACATCATATTTATACAAATGAACCTGGTAGAGATCTTGATTTGGATATTCCTCTTTTACGACTACATCGTTTTGTTCCTAAACGGTCATTTTATGCTCTTCAACATTTATATGTAATTTTCTTGGAGGCGGTGTTTGGTCCTGTTCATGTGATTTCGAATATTTTGTTTTTATGGCATGGACCTAATAAACAACAACGGTTTTTGAATAAAGAATGGAAAATAAGTGCTGTTATGGCATTGATTCCAATTTTACGGGTCTCGTTTAATTTTCTTCATGCTCCTTCACTTTTGGATGCCTTTCTAAGTTCATTTATCCAACATGCTGTTGGTGGTATGTATCTGGCATTTTTCTTTTTGATTTCGCATAACTTTCATGGTGCTAAAAAAGAAGGAACGAGTGATGGGGAGTGTTTTCTTAAAGCCCAAGTGGAGACAAGTAGTAATGTAGGTGGATGGTGGTTGGGACATTTAAACGGTGGACTGAATTATCAGATAGAACATCATCTTTTTCCACGTGTTCACCACAGTTACTATTACTATCTTGCTCCTACGGTTCGTGCTTTTTGTGCTGAACATAAAATAAAATACGTTCATTTCAATACGGTATGGGATAATTTCAACAGCACACTTGCGCATTTATTTGATTATGGACATGAGATGGATATGAAAACATTAGATGAAAAGAAAAATCATTAAATCGATTGAAATGTAAATAAAGAGCATAATTCTATTTAATAAGAGAAAGGTAAATTGTGTACGTATTTGTGTGTGTGTGTGTTTTGTTGAATCTCCCACTACCTGTCTGTCTCTGTGTGTCGGTGATTGGGATTGGGATTAGGATTAAGTTATTTCCCTTTCTTCAGATATATATATATATATATGTGAATAACAAAAATGATATATGCGTTTGCACTTGGAAATAAGATGCCTCTTTGGTTGGTGGTTACTTATTATTTCTCTTATCTTGTGGGGATTTAACTTGACAGAAAACCCATTGGATTCTCATTACGACTCCATCAAAAAAAAAGGGAAAAAAAACGAGAGAGAGAGAGAGAGGAAAAACAATAGGGATAAAAGTATACATATAAAAAAGCAAGAGAAAAAAACAAAAACAAAAAACAAAGTGAGACAACACACACAAAAAAAAAAAAACGAAAAAGCGTATTCCATGCCTACACTACAGGTAAAAAACAATCGAAACGTTCAATACACAGATGAAGCTATTACAAGCCGGTATGTGTATCACACAACGCGGGTGGTAAAAGGAGCCGCTGGAGAAGTAACAGTGGAACCAGTGGACGTCGCCCTGCGATTTCGTACACTACGCAAACCAGCCAAGTGTGGTGTTATGTTGGTAGGTTGGGGTGGAAATAATGGATCTACGGTAACTGCTGGTATTCTTGCTCATAAATACGGTGTCTCTTGGCGTACAAAGACAGGCGTTCAACATCCAAACTACTTTGGCTCCATTACACAATCCAGTACAATGAATATTGGCCTCACAAGTGATATGGAAGAAGTATTTGTTCCTCTGAAAGATGTAGTTCCCATGTTAAACCCTACAGATCTTGTTATTGGTGGTTGGGACTGCAGTGGGATGAATCTTGGAGATGCCATGCGTCGGGCGCAGGTGTTGGAAGTTCCTTTGCAAGATGCCTTATATGATTATATGAAAGTTATGAAACCTCTTCCTGCTGTATTTGATTCTGATTTTGTCGCGGAAAATCAAAATCAGCGTGCGGATAATGTCATGCAAGTACAAAATAAATGGGAGGCGGTGGAAAAACTACGAGCGGATATTCGTTCCTTTAAAGAGACGCATAGCCTTGAAAAGGTTATTGTGCTTTGGACGGCCAATACCGAACGTTTTTCGGATCATTTAACGGGTATACATGATACCGCTGAGGCCTTATTGGCTGCAGTGAAGCGTAATGAGAGTGAGATTGCCCCATCTGCCTTGTATGCATTGGCCTCTATATTAGAGGGATGTAGTTATATTAATGGGGCACCGCAGAATACACTGTGTCCAGGTCTGGTGGAACTCGCACGAAAACATAATGTTTTTCTAGGTGGAGATGATTTTAAGAGTGGACAGACAAAGATTAAAAGTGCATTAGTGGAATTCTTTGTTGCGGCTGGTATTAAACCAGAGTGTATTGCGAGTTATAATCATCTTGGAAATAATGATGGATATAATTTATCAGCGCCAAAACAGTTTCGTTCAAAGGAAATAACTAAAAGTAATGTGGTAGATGATATGGTGGCATCTAATAATATTCTTTACCCTCAGGGTAGTAAAGGACCAGATCACTGTATTGTTATTAAATACCTTCCATTTGTTGGGGACAGTAAACGTGCTATGGATGAATATTCCTTTTCTATCTTTATGGGTGGTCAGCAAACGGTGGTTCTACACAATACATGTCAAGACTCACTTCTGGCAGCACCACTTATTATTGATCTTGTTGTATTAACAGAACTCATGGAACGTGTCTCGGTAACGACAGATACGGAAGTTGAAGGATGTAATGGAAATACATCATCATCATCATCCTATACACATATGGAAACTGTTTTGTCTATTCTATCGTACTTGTTAAAGGCTCCATGTGTACCGGAAGGAACACCCGTTGTAAATGCCCTTAATCGTCAGAAACAAGCCATTGAAAATGTACTACGTGCCCTTGTAGGTCTCCCTCCGGATAATAACATGTTGCTGGAGTGTCGTGTGCCTTTTTTGCGTAACATGACTGTATCGCATTAAGAACAAGGACAGCGTTTATAAACCATTCGTTATAATGGTTTATATACTTATTTGTTTGTTTGTTTGTTTGTTTGTTTGTTTTTCGTATTTCTCTGTTTTCTTCCCATAATATTTATTTAATTAGGAAGAGAAGGGAAGGCAAGGGAAAAGGAGGGTGTGAGGATGGAAAAAACAAAACAAAAGAATAAATAAAAAAAATGAGGTTCAAGAGAAATGGAAATGGGAAGAGTCTGGGATATCAGCAACTATATTGAAGGAAAGAAGAAAATAATTTAAAAAAAAAAGAAGAAGGAAATAAAAATAATATTTTTATCACAAATAGTTTGTTTTTCCCTAACCATACTACAGTGGATGTGGTATGCAATGTTGCGTTTCTCGACTTTGAACTCTCCTGATTGCCTCGGTTGTCGAATTTTCAGTTTCCTTTTATTATTATTATTATTATTATTATTATTATTATTATTATTCGTTATCTCTCTCATCTCATTCGTGCATTTCTCTATTTATTTTACTTATTTTTCTCTCTTTTTCTTTTTCTTATAAGGTGATAATTCCCCGCTCGGTGTAGTGTGAGAAGAACTTCATTCCTCCAAGCAGTAGGGTGGCATAGTTGCAGCAAATAGTAGAGCAATCTGCACCCCAGTATCTAGAGAAATAAAATTGGAAGAGGAAGAATAAGAAAAAAGCAAAAAAGAAACAAACCAACAAACAAAAAAAGAGGAAAATAAGAAAACAAGAAAGAGCAAGAAGTAAAATATATATATATCAGATATATATATACATATATACATATACAGTCAACAAGAAATCATGCCAATGCGTTCGGACTATCCCCGTTACCCGCGAGATGTGCGGGCCAAACAAATCGTCTCGCGGCCGGCGCGGGAACGGCGTCTGGAGGATCTTCACCTCACCGCCTTCCCAAGCGTCGTGAACGCAGACTCCATGACTGTCCCACCGCCCACCGCAGAGAAGAGCCAAACAACAAAAACCCCAAAGGTGGAAATGCAGGAACGCGCAGTGGCAGTGATGACAACAAATCAACTCGTCGCTCGTATGGCGGAAATGGCTCGAGAAGAATCACTTAAGAATGCCACATCCACAGAGAAGAAATCTCTCTCTGCGCCAGATGGACGTGTTTTGATGCCTGGTGTAGAGTTTGATCGCAGCTCTACATACCGTCTGGATTACTGTAATAAGGATTTACCAGGTTTTCACGCGCGGGTAAGGAATATACCTGACTACACGAAGGACTGGACAGATATAGATAAGTCAAATATTGAACAAGCTATGAAGGTTCCATACCTAACATTACCTGGAAGTCTACTGAAACAGCGGCCAACTGTGTATCGACATGATTATATTCCAGCAGCAAGTCGAGAAGAATATCGTACAGTATCGTGCGAAACAAACCTGCAAGATCTTGGTACCTCCTTTGCATACTCTGCATACACCGTAAATGATCCTGCACGTGTAATAAAATATGATAAGGTTGTCGCATCCTGTCATAATCCTCGCTGTCTCTTGTGGAAAACGTACAGCCCACGTGACTCCTTTGCTGAAAAGATGAAAGTGCCGGAATCCACAGCAGAGGAACTACAACGGTTGCGTGAATTGCGTCGTACTCAGGTGTCGCAGATGACTACTACTACAGAGTCTTCAGGGAAAGGTTCAGAAGGTGAGGGGAAAACGTCCAGAAAGATTGTTTTGCCTGGAATGCGAGGTATGGGATACCGACAGGCACCAAGAGAAGGTGAAGATTATATTTATCTTCCTCGAGATCACTTCTGTCACCAAGTGGTGTATGACTACTAGTCTTTTTTTTTGTCTCTTTCTTTCTTTCCCTCCGCTACACACACGGATACTTCCTTGTATGTCTAAACGAAAGAAAATGACAAATTCAAGAATGATATGATACGGAGAACCCATATACACATGATTCTATTTATGTTTGTGTTTGTGTGTATCTCTCTTTCTCTCACTCTCTGTATATAATACACACACATATATATATATACGAATATATGGAAAGAATTTTTATACACAATGATGATGATGATATCTGATAAAGAAGTGAGCAGAAGAGACAGAATAACACAAACCAATTTGCATGTACATAAATGAATACAAGCTACATATTTACTATATAGTTTTCCTCCTTTACTTTTACTATTTACTGATTTGCTTATCTCCCACTAACTCTTGTAATCATGTGAAATTTTTTCCCCCTCTCTTTTTTTTTCTTCTGTTTTTTTTTTCTTTCGGTTTCTTTAGAATTTATTCGTGTATATTTTTTTTATTGTATTTACCTAAGAGATTTTTGAAGGGGGGAGGGTGGTTGGAAATAATAGTATTATTTATCATTATTATTACTTTTTGTACATCATGGCAGGAGAATCACAAACTACAAGGCAGTTACAAGCATATTGGCGACAAATGCTTACGAACAGCTTCAAAGATTCCCCTGATGAAAGACTTCAGGTGTACACATGGCTTTCCAACGTTCCATATGATGGGAATAAATTGTGCTCCGATCTCTGGGTGTTGGCAATGCTAAAAGCCGTTCAGGATCCCTGGTCTCGCGTCCGCAAACTTGGACGTGAGAGTCTACTTGCCGAAGTGACCGCTGCAGCAGTCACACCAAATAAAATGGTTATCCGTCGCCTTGTGGGTCTTCTCTTCTATAAGTGGCCTAGACTACAGCACTGGTATGAGAAGGAGGGAATGTTGAAACTTTGGGAAGGATTGGTGTTGTGCACACCATGTGTAAATGAGGATGTAGGCGTCTTATCTCATCTTTTACTTAATGTTGTATTACAATCATTCTCTGACCCTCAATTTCCAGTGCGTGAAGTAGCTGTTGGTATCGCTCTTCAGATAGCAAAGCGCAGTAAAGAACTCGCTTCTTTTATAATGGATTACATTTTTGCAAAGTTTAGAGTTTTTCTCAAAAAAAGTGAAGAATCAGAGGTAATAATGCAAATAGATGGATTTCTTGACTGTTTTGCGAAATTATTAGTTATACGCTCTGAGTCCAATCTTAATCTATGGTGGGTCAAGATTCAACCAATTCTTCAACAATTTGCTCATCATTCTGCTGCTAGCATTCGTCAACGGGTTGCAGAAGTGTGGACTATACAATCAGAAGAATGTTTTAAAATGTTGCTAGATGGTATTATTAAAATGGTTCAAACACCTTCACAGGATGATGAATGGTGGCGAATGGTGGAAACTCTTCTTATGGCACTTCAGAAACAATTAGAACGATATTTATCTTTTCCGAAAAAGGTAACAAAATTAGGATTTCAGGCCAAACTTCAAATTTCCGACTCCCTTCATGCGATTCTGGTGTTTGCTGAAGCAAAACAATTTGAAGTGGCAAGAATGGGAAAACAGGTTTTACCTTTACTCATACAGTTTTGGGTTCGTTTTGCTCCTTCTCTTTCTTTTGTAAAAGAATGTTGTAGTAAATCGGCAGTACGATTTCAAGAACGTGAATATTTTTCTGTATTATTTTTACCTGAAATTATTTGGTTTCTGACACTTCGACGTTATATCCAGCCCAAGACAGAAGTGAAAGAAGTTAAAGATGTAGTGAGTCAGTATGTGTTAACTCTGTTTGAAAAGAATATTGGAACCCCCTTAGAATTAAAATCAGAAAAAGAAAATATATTACCTTTAACACGTTCTGGTGTTTCCCTTTCGATTTTGTTACTTTGCACATATTTTCCTGAATGTTGTAATGATTCTGTCGATGATAATGGTGGTACCATTATGAATATGGCGTTGAGTAAGGAACTTTGGGAAAAAACATTGGAAGAAGATGCAAATAATGTAAAATATGCGGTTGATTTTTCCCTAGTTGTGCGGCAGAGTGGAGGAACAGTAATGCATCTTGTTCCAACATGGCTTCATTGGTTCTCTAGTGCATGTGCACATCAACAATGTTTGATACTTGAGGCAGTGAAAATTGCAATTGGTGCAAAAAAACATTGGATATCTCATAAATTTTTTTCCTTTGCGTATCATTCAACATTTGATGCCCCGACCATGCAAGATGGTGGAGAGGATATTTCTCGTGGATTTCATTGGCTTAAAGAATATTACCCTTCAGAATCTTTATTGCCTGAAATTTCCTCTACTGTTTTAAGTAATAATGATAGTCGTTTATCTAATATTACGGAATATCTTCATACCTTGGTATATAATAAGGTATTCATGTCAAAAGGAGCTGAACCTTCTGTTTTGCATATTATACGCTCTGTGATGTTAGTTGAATGTGAGGAGGATCCTACAGAGAAAACAATGGTTTGTATAGTATCTGCTATCATTTCCCGTTTGGAAAATGTGACTCCGAATTGGCGGGATACGTTGTTAACACTAAATAGTGAAGAAAATAATGATTTTGGCACTATTACCTCTTGTGAAATCAATAGTGATGGTGGTTGCAGTGATTGGGATGAATCAGACAGCGATTCCGGTGTAGGAGTTATTGCGATAGAAGAAGAAATTAAGGAAGCCAGAGCCCAATTAGCAGCTATTATTCGCATCTGTTTCGCTAGAGATCAAGGGAAACTCTTAGAGGTTGCATGGCCCAAAGACGTTAGAAAAGGAATTGAATTACTTTGCGGTGTCTAATGCCATTTGCGTTTTTCTATGGCATTCTTCTTTTTTTTTTTTTTTGTCACTTCAAATTTATTTATTTTATTTATTTCATTCTTTGTAGTCCAACTCTGTTTATTTACTTTGAGCAGGCAGGGGACGAGTGGGGGAACCCAAGCATCTGTTTGTATCTTGGGGGAAAAATAAAATGTTCTTGTTTTTGTTTTTTGTTGTTCTCCTCCATAAAAGTATATTACTGGAATGTTCATGTCAGATTGAATTTCAAGGTTCTTTTCTGGTTTTCTCTTCTTTTTCTCTTGTTGCTTTTTTTTTTTTTTTTTTTTTTTCCCCGCTACTTAGCAGTGACTCTGGGAGGATACCTGTGAATGGGAGAACAAAAAAAAAAAAAGAGAAAAGGGAGAGAGAAGGAAAATATAGCAGACAAAATCTCTTTCAACTAGAATAGAGGCACTTGGCGGCAGGTGGAATAATCGTTTGTTTCTCCACCTTTTAGGAGGGGTGACAGGAATATGGATACCTTGATTCATTTTCTTTTTCCGTTTAAATCCCTTCAAAAGGAAGTCCAGGTTAAGAAAAATTCTCCTTTACCATGAAGATTTACCCAACGCAGTGACACTAACGCACCCTCTGCATCAATGATGGTTGATTCATTCATTAATATAGGAATGGGGTAAATGTGGCAAAATAGAGAAAGAACAGCTCCGCACTCTCTTGGTGGGGTGTGGGGAAAAAAAAAAATAAAATAAAAATAAGGTGAGAACGTCCACCTTTTTTTTTCTCGCAAAACTATAATTATTGAAAACGTCCTAGATTCTTCACTTTCATCACAAGCGCAGTTGGTCTAGTGGTAGAATTCTCGCCTGCCACGCGGGAGGCCCGGGTTCGATTCCCGGACTGCGCAGTTGTTTTTCAAATTTTTATTATTTTTTTATACACATTATCTGATTTATTTTATAAGTGGAAGAGCTCAATTATATGTGATTCATCAACGAACTTGTGGATTTGGAAAAGGGTGTATATGCATATGTAATAATGATTAGGCCAAATACATTCCAAGATTTGATTTCTAACTGTAAATGGAATAACGATAAGGTTAAAATTAATTTAGAAAAAAAATTATACTATAATATTGGTATAGGGAAAGTATGAATCCCATATTTCAGCTTTCTCTTTCGACTAGAGATTCTTGTTATTTACGTTTTGGGTTGGTTTCGAATTTTCTTGGTTTCATGATTAATGTATTTTGACCTATATATGGGGTTTAATGTTATGTATGGTCCTAAAGAATTGTTATGTATACCGTTGCAATCTCATTACATATTTCTTTACCTGCTTTCGTTTTCACTTTATCGTTGTTATTTGTTTGTTTGTTTGTTCTTTTTTTTTTCATGAATATGTTCCGAGTAGCAGAGCGGTCAAAAGCAATTATTTTCCTTTATTGAAAAATAATAATTCTTTTTATGGGAAATCTTGAACGTCTCCGACGTTTCTACAGACATTATGCACCAAGTAAGGTTGCAACTGCAGAGCTTGCTCTTGAGGCCTACGTTGGTCAGGAAGAAGCTATGTTTAAAGCGTTGGAACGCAAGTATGGTCCAGAAGCAGATATTCCTACAGATCTTTCCAAGAGTACTCCCGTACCTACCGTTGCGTTACCATCACCTTTTTTTTATCCCGTTGTAAATGACGATTCCAATACTGGAATTAAGATATCTGAAGAGAATGATAGAAATACTATCGCCTTGCCGTCGGTACTGCATTTCGACTCACTACGAAATCGTTTAGAACGTATTTATGCTTTCTATGCTCCAAATCTTTTGGAGAGTGTAGATTTAACCCTAGCAGCTTACGAAGGACGTGAAAATGTATTATTTAGTTTACTTCAACAGAAATATGGACCAGAGCCAAGTGCCTTTTACCCCATATCTCTTAGTGGTGAAGATAAAGGAAATATAGAGGAATCTGCAGGAATCCGAATAGAAATGCGAGATCTCCACACACTTTCATCTTACGACATATCAGCAGCATTGCTAGAGGTTGGATTTCCACGTGATCAAGTTCCTTTGGTACTGTTGATGTATGGTTATGGTAGGGAACAATATGCTGCTTCAACGGCTCTTTTGGTAACACTCATTGGAAGTGCTCTTTTTGACCCTGACGAGAAGAGGGGTATTGTTTTTCCCTACAACCAGCTTGAGCAAGTTACAGGGGTTCCACCGAGTGGGATTGATCACTTGGCTTTTGAGCATATCCTCGTTTATCGACGCATATTTCTTTCCTTTCTTTCCGGCTTACGTCAACTCCAGGCACAGGAGTCAGCAGTAAGAAATGTCCTATGGCGGCACTACCAGGCAGCAGTGGATATCGTACAATACAAAGCTGTGATTCTTCAGGAAGCCCTTTGTTGCCTTCCTTTAGTGGAAGCAGAACTTCGAGCCAAGCTGGTTAATGATGAGGTATGTAAAAGAGGAGCACTTCAGTCGTGGTTTAGACAACAACACAATCACGTGGATCTTTTGCTGAAATGCAGCAGTGCACAACCACAGAAAAGTGAACGCCGCAAATTACAGCACACGTTCTACAAATCGAGAAGATCGCTTTCACATGGGAAAAGAGAAGAAACACGACCGGTTGTAGAGAGGTGGGACGACAGCATATATCAACCCCTTACGCAGTCCTCTGTAAAACAAATGCAGCAGAAAACACCAAAAACGCTAAGCACACGCAAGGCAAGTTTTTCAGTTCTTCACAACTCAGTTTGGAAACCCTCTGGAGTCACCAATTTAAAAGCCCGTGAATCCATGGAAAATGGGAAGAGTGGCTTCTGCGCACCAAGAAACGCAACACACACTACGACCAACCACCGTGGGATATTACAAACAAGATACGCCTTCAAACAAGGCTCTCCTACTACACGCAAAAATAAAACCAATGCAGTCAATCATTCCATAGTATTCAACAAGCAAGCGCATGGTGTCGTCTCTCAGGGTGCATTTTCTGCTTTAATCCAACTATCGTAGACCACCAAACTGTAAACATACACGAACGAACTCAAAAAAAAAATTAAAATACAACATCATATTCTACAGATTATGATATAACAATTGACAAATTCAACATACCAACAAAATTACTTTTCTCCTTAACCAACACGAAGTAAGAAAGCAATTCAATTCACACTGTACACAATTGCAACTCTCATACTATATAAGCAACCATCCCATCTGTCTGTAACAACAATTCATATTAACATATTCCATTGAATATTGAAAATAAAAACGTATGGAATATTTCATTACTCAGAGAACCTATATTGCTAAATTAGAAGTAAAACACCAAAAACAAACCAA